AAAGATGTAAGGAATGAAAGGACAGAGATGGAAAATGAGATTGAGGGATAAGAAGATGCAAATGGGAAAAATGAGGAAACGGATAAAGATAGAAATAGAAAAAGAAAAAAAAATGAAAGAAAGAAAGAGGGAGAGAAATAAAGATAGAGAGAGAGAGAGAAATAGAGAGAGAGAGAAAAATAATGAGAGAAAAGAATGAAGTTCCATTGTTGCGAGATTATTTACCAATTTGCATACAAATCTCTGTTGATTGCTGCAAGATCACGAGATGGCGATTGTGAGGTTGATGACGACGATGATGATGATGTTGACAACGATGATGATGATGATGATGACAACATTGATTGGTTGATTGGTAAGCTGATTGTAAGTCTTGTTAATTCTTCAATGTTACCTATTCATTTCATTCAATGATCCCCTGTAATCCCTTAAGGGACCGTTGAGGCCGATGGTATTCTTCTATCTCTTCAAAATCCTTTTCTTTCCCTTGCCATCTTCATTGAGCTCAATGTTCCAACCCCCGTCCATTCCGTGATATCATCCATCCACTTCCTCACAGGTCTTCCAACTTTTTTCTTCCAGTCCCTCTTTCTCATCAGTACTATTTTGATCAGTCTGTTGTCTGTCATTCTGCAGATGTGCCCAAAGATACCCAGCTTTCTTTCCTTGACACTTTCATACACAGATTTTGTCTTCCAAGTTGTTTTCTTATGGCATCGTTTCTTATCTTTTGTCTCCAACTGATTCCCAGCAACTTTCTATAACAATGCATCTCGAATGCTTCCAGTTTGTCTTTGTCTCTTTTCTTCAACGTCCAAGCCTCACATGCATACATCAATGTAGAAAACACACACGCTTCTACGATCTTTACCTTTGAATGTTAGCTATAGTTTACTGATAATTATAGAAATGACAAAAAAAAATGTTGTTTTAGCAGAGCTGATGAATAAACTACATGATAAAAAAATTCAATGAGTGAAACAAAAACAATTACAACCATAACAACAATAACGTTAAAAACAACTGCAATAACCACAACAACAACAAAACAACAACAACAACAACAGCCGAAACAACAACAACAACAACAACAGCCGAAACAACAACAACAACAACAATAACAATAACATCGATTAACAAAGTCTTAGAGTAAAATGAATAACATTAATATGGTTATAAAATCCTTGTCTATTAATTATATGTATCTTGTATCGATTGATTTTCTGAAAAATCTACTACAACTACTGCTGCTGCTAATACTACTACTACTACTTTTACTACTACTACTACCATTACTGTTTTTTTTGCTGCAATTGCTTTTACTGTTGTTACTACTACTACTTCTACTACTACTACTACTACTAATACTAATACTACTACTACTACTACTACTACTACTACTACTACTACTACTACCAATATTAATAATAATAATGATAATAATAATGATAATGATAATAATGATAATAATAATGATAATAAGAATAAGAATAATAAAAAAAAATGCAATTTCTAATATTTTTGGGTTATAAATAAATTCGTTTGATGAAAATTGTTCTATATAAATAAAAAATAACTCTTACGATGACGATTATGACTAACGCTCTGTTTATAATTAAACATTATTAAGAAAGTTTCTTCATCGTCGTCGTCGTCATTATCATCATCATGATGATGACAATGAGGATGATGATGATGAATACGATGATGATGATGATGACGACAACGATGATGATGACGATGTTATGACGCATACAAAAGAACCCCGACTAACAAGCTTAAATTATGGAAGGAGAAGATGACGTGCTTAAAGTTAGAAGATGTATCATCATCATCGTCATCATCATCGTCGTCATCATCATCTTCATCATCATCGTTATCATCAACATCGTCATCGTCATCGTCATCGTCATCGTCATTGAGGTCGTCATCATCATCATCATCATCATCATCATCATAACCAAGACCAACATATTATCATCATCATCATCATCATCATCATATTCATCATTATCATCACCAAACCACCACAAATGGCAACACGTGATGACACTCAGAGACCGGCTTCAAAAATGCAAGCCTGACAAACTGAAAGTTCACCGTTGGGTCAATTCGACCATGTTGTAGGATTACAGGTGCCATAAATGAAAAAAAAACATTTTATTACTATTATTTTTTTATTATTATTGTTGTTATTCTTTTATTCTTATTTTTTTAAATTAATATCCTTTTTCTATAAACTGAATAAAAACTGTAACAAAGAGAACTTCTGTGAATTGAAAATAGCGAAATTCCTCGTTTTGAAACTCCAATACAAAGTACATAAGCCACAGACGAGTTAAATTTTAACAAATTTTTTATAAAATATAAAATACAACGGGATAATAGAAGAATTGAAATAACATGGATAATAATAAAATTAATAATAAATCATTAACATAAATCATTAACATAATAATAATAATAATGATAAAAATGTCCCGCGCAAATGTCACACGTTGAAATCGAAATTCTCCATAATTTATTTTTTCTAGGAATCAAACATTTCCCGATATATAAAATGGAATTGGACTAATTAATTAATTAATTAATTATGTAAAACCATTATTAGATTTTAAAGTGGTAAAATTCTGGTTAAACTGGTCAAACTCCGTATCTATACACACAGACACGCACGCACTCTTCCCATTAGCATCTGTGTTTGTCTATCAAATTGAAATTTTATGTTAATTTTATGTTTTCATTGCTACTGAATGTTTTATTTTCTTTTGAGCAATAAACTGTTTTATGTTAAACTTTTTTTTATAACATTTTGTTAGCTTGCTAACTTTCCTTCAATTAAAGTTCCTCAAGATTGTTCCAATAAAATTTTCGCCATAAACTGCAGACATAATATCGTTGGCATAAAATTTTAGTCGGAAATAAAATTCTCGCTGGCGGCTGTTACATACTTCAGCGTGTATGTATGTTATGTTTGTTTGTGTGTGTAAGTATTTATGTATGTATGAATTTTTTTTTCTCAAAAAAGAGGGGTAAACTAAAAAGCAACGTATGTATGTATGTATGTATGTATGTATGTATGTATGTATGTATGTATGTATGTATGTATGTATGTATGTATGTGTGTATGTATGTATGTATGTATGTATGTGTACGTGTAATTTTGCACACACCTACAAACACACACACACACACACATACATGTATAGAAAAAATATACTAAAATTTAATATTTTTCTAACGAGAAATATTTGAACGAGCGGAAACTGCTTATAAATTGAATTTTTTCTCTTTTAAAGAAGTTTAATTTTGTTTCAAACGCGTAATTTTTGATTTCGATCAACTCTACAGGTAGGAAAAGTTTTTTAAAACTCAATTTTGAAAATTTTGTTAACATAAACAACAACAGCAACAGCAACACCAACAACAGCAACAACAACAACAAAATCAACAAAAACAACAACAACGATTATATTTGGAACATAAACCCCAACGACAATTACATCATAAACAACAGCAAAAACAAATACAACAAAAAAATATATGAACGCAAAAAATCAAATTAATAAATTGCGAAAGTTATGTTAACAAAAACAACAACAAAAACAACAATTGCAACATAAACGACATTAAATACATTAAAAACCAAGAAAACAAATACAACAACAAATTATTTTAGTTATTTATTGTTAGAAAATGTTTTCTGAAAAACAAAATTGATAGTTTTTTAAATTCTTCCCAAAAACATCATGCCATGCAATAAAGAATGCTAATTATTTCACTAACTGACCAGATGATTTACAAACGGTTGTAGTAGTAATAATATTAGTTGTTGCGGTAGTTTTAGCCAAAAAACTTTAAAAATGTACCTCGTCGTGTTTGATGCTGTTGCTAATGTGGCTGTTACTCTTATTGCCAGAGTTGTTAGTGATGGGATCGTCATTTTGATGATATTTTTAGGTTAGTGCTGTGATTGTGGGAATTTTATTAATGCCGTTTAAGTGTAGTTGTTGTTGTTTCATTTGGCGTTGTTGTTGTTGTGCTCAAATTACATCAATAATGTTGCTATTTCGTTGCAGTGTTCTTGCATAAAAGATATAATAATGACGTGCTTTTGGCTAGTCTTTTTTTATAAATATTTTATTGTTTGACAATGTTTTTCAGAGCATTAGAACAAAATTATCGAGGCAAACGTTGTTTATGCTGATGATAGAGGAAGATAGCATCCGGACGTTTATAACGGGAGATGGTCCTTTATAGGCTTTTTTGTGTGCTACTACGTCTGCGGGTTTTGTATAATTGCGTTGCATCTTCAAAGAAAGCATTGAGCTGTTTGTCTTTTAAGCGTTTTTATACTTTCATGTCACTTTGCGAGTTTCATAGCTTCTGCTGGTTTGTGTGTCACATAATGAAATTTTTCACTTTATTCAAGTAAGTTCAAAAGGTTGATTGTTCATAGAAAGAGGTACACACACACACACACACAAACATACATACAACAACACACAAACACAATAACGCACACACACACACACACACACACACTCAGCGCACTTACACACAAAGAAGACAAAGCATACACATATTAAAAAACATACACGACACATAATCGCACATACACACTCACAAACAAAAACAGCACACACACATATACATTTGCATTTTTTGGCATAGAACGAAACCCAGCAGGAAAATTTTAGCACAACTGCGAACACAGTTGTCTTTTTTATGTTTTGTATATTTGAAAAATACCAAACTTGAAAAGAAAACAGTTTTGTTTTTATGTGCAGTTTGTTTTTTTATCACCTTGTGAAAAATTTTATAACAAAAAACGTTTTAAAAATATTTTTCGCTTTTTGAAAATTAGTTGCGGATTTAAATATTTAGTATGTACGTTGCTGTTGTTGTTGTTTGTTTGTTTTTCTTTGTTGATGTTGTTTTTTTGTTTGTTGTTGTTTTTTAATTTGTTTGTTGTTGTTTGTGTTTTGATTTTAAACGTTTTTTCAGGTCTGAATGAAAAAAGTTTACTGTTCTTGTATTATTTTCTTCATTGATGTTTCGTGAATTTAAAATTTTCTCTAATCGCTATTTATACCTTCTTAGCATGTGTGGAACGTATCATGTAGGCAACTGTTCTGTTGTTGCTGCTGATGTCATTGAGGTTGTTGTTGACGGTGGTGTTGTTGTTAATGTTGTTGTTGTTGTTAATGTTAATGTTGATGATGTTGTTGTTGATGTTATCAACATAGTTTGTGAAAATATTGGTTTTCTTGGTGATATAGTCAGCAATTTGTTAATGTTATTAACATTTGTTTTTTACTGGTTCTAACTTTGCCAATTATTGTCTTATGAATGTTAATGATTGATGTAATTAATTTTGTTGATGTTATTTTTATTATGTCATTATCATTGATAATTATATTATGATTATTTATATTATTGTTGTTGTTATTGTTGTTATTATTGTTAATGTTACGGATAATTATTATGATTATTTTTCAGTTGTTTTTATTACATTTTGTTCTCCATTTCAGAATGGCGGACAGATAATGTATATTTATAGCAAACCTAGGACTTTGTTTTGCCAATGCTGTCCCTAAAATAGTAAACAATGTTGTTGTTGTTGATGATGTTGTTGTTGTCGTGGCGATTGTAATTTTTGTTGTTGTTGTTGTTTTTGCGAGTGTTGTTGTCGTTGTTGTTGTGATTGTTGTTGTTGTCGTTTTGGTTGTTGCTGTTGTTGTTGTCAATTTAATGGCTGTTGTTTTTGCTGGTATTTATGTTAATGTAATATTGTTTTTGTTGTTGTTATTTCGTTGATGTTATTGTTTATATTTATATTTTGTTTGGTTTACGTTTTGTATATTTAGTTTTACATTTTTACCACCAATACAAACATGCGGCTAGAATATTTTTATTTAATTTTTATTTTATTGCTTTGAGAATAAATTTTGCTTCTCTCAAAAGCAACATGCGACCGATTTAAAGAAATTTTCTGGAATTTTTTAAATTAATAAAAAATATTTTGTTCTTTAGTTCAATTAGAAAATTAAATTTTAATTTTTTGGATTTGGTTTGAAGTGATGAAAGATGAAATAATAATTTTTGTTGAAAGTTTTTCATTAACAATTTTCAAAGTATGAAGTGCGTTTTCTTCAAAGTTGCAAAAGATTTAAACAGTTTTTTTAAATTCAATCTACGCTTTTAATTTTTAAATATTTATTTTTTGATCTGTCAAAATTTTAAAATGTTTTACAAGCCTTGGATAACAAAAAAAGTAAAATAAAAGACGAGCTAAATACAAGGCATATATCAACAGTTTAAAAACCTTAAATGTAACAAGCCAGCTAATTCAAGAGAATCAATTCGAATGCAGTAGCTAGAAAACAATTATAAAATGTAAACAGAAAAGACAGGATCTATCTATGCTAATAGAAAGAACATTAAAAATTATGAGACAAAATTAGCAGACAACATCAAAATTAATAGTAAAAGTTTTATCAGCTACGCGAGAAGTGCAAAAACACAAAGACAAGATAGGTCCCCTTCGAACTGAGAATAGTGTCGTTACTAATGACCACCAAAAAATGTCGGATATACTTAACTCTTATTTATATTCTGTATTTACAAGGAAGATTTTAACATCTCTGCCGAAACCCAACATAACTTCATTAGAAATGACCAGATTGTCTGAGTTGATGCGACTGCTACGAAGTAACAGAGAGTCGATGAAAGACTGAAAGAAGATAAAGGCCCCCTAAGCAACGGCCTCAATCCAGCATTCCTGAAAAATATATGAGTGGACATTACAAAAGCACTGTTAACACTTTTCAATAAATTGTTGGCAACGAGTGAAATGCCATCAGATTGGAAAGATGCAATCATAATGCCACTCTTCAAGATAGGAGATCATTGCGACTCAGGAAATTAGAAACCAATTAGCCTTGCAAGCATTGCATGCAAAGTGCTAGAAAGAATAATTAAGAAGGTAACCGTGAACCACTTGACAAACAACGACGTCATACACAAGAGCCAACACGGATTTACGGATGAGCATTCATGCCTAACAAATTTGCTTGACTTATTGAAGAGGTTTATAAAAATTTGGACAAAAAGAAAGCAGTGATTATTGTGTACGTAGATGTTGCTGAAATTTTTGATAAAGTACCGATAAACGTTTGGCCTTAAAATTAGAGGCAAGTAAAATTACAGTAAACACACTCAAGTGGATTTCTAATTGGTTACAAGATAGACGGCAAAATGTTGGTAATGGAGGAAGTTTTTCAAACTGGAGCAATGTTACAAGTATTAGAACCGTTGCTAATTGTAATATACATCGATGGTATTGATCTAAAAATGAAGTCTTAATTTTTAAAATTGTCAGATGACACCAAATTATGTGCTGTTGTAGACAACGATAAAGGTATTAAAATTCTAGCATGCGATTTGCAAAAAATGTGTGCAGTCATACATATGGGAGCGAACAACTTGGAGACATGCCACTAAAAAATGTGGAAGAGGAAAAGGATCTAGGGCTGATAATTCATCGGAATGGTAAGGTAGCGCGTCCTTGTTTGCTGCCCACATTGTAGATATAGCAAAAATCATATTCAACATTTTTTAAATCTTTTATTTTTTCGTTCTTTCATTTTTTTTGTTATTTTTTTCAATTTGGTTTCCTATCAAGTTTCATTCAAAAGCTAAATTATGCATAACCAACGCACTTATTGTTGTTTTTTCTTACAATTAAATTTGAAAAAATTAACTTCAAAACATTTTTTAAAATATTTTTTCAAGTAATTTTTTAAAAACTTTTTTAAATTAAATCATAACTAAAAATTTCTAAACTAAAAATTTATTGAAAATACAAAATAAGTAAAAAAAAATCTAATCAGATTGACGTTTGGAGTGCAAATTTTTTTCAGAATAAAGAGCGGAGAAAAAAATTAACCCATCATAAAATGTAATTTAAATGAAACTGTATCTACTTGAATGACAACGCACTAGATTTTATATATGTTTTATTTATTTATTATTATAAACATTTTATTATTTCATTTTAATTTCTTATGAATAATTTGTCAGTTTCTTTGAAAACCTGGGAGGACATATCTTTATGAACGTTGCATTAAAATTGTTGATCTAGTAAAAAGTTGGTTAAAAAAGAAAAAAAAGATGGATAGATAGATAGATAGATAGATAGATAGATAGATAGATAGATAGATAGATAGATAGATAGATAGATAGATAGATAGATAGATAGATAGATAGATAGATAGATAGATAGATAGATAGATAGATAGATAGATAGATAGATAGATAGATAGATAGATAGATAGATAGATAGATAGATAGATAGATAGATAGATAGATAGATAGATAGATAGATAGATAGATAGATAGATAGATAGATAGATAGATAGATAGATAGATAGATAGATAGATAGATAGATAGATAGATAGATAGATAGATAGATAGATAGATAGATAGATAGATAGATAGATAGATAGATAGATAGATAGATAGATAGAGAGAGAGAGGGTGAAAGAGAGAGAGAGAGAATGAGAAAGAGCCCAATTGCATGTGGTGAATAGCATCCGGCCTAAGAGGCAGGCAAGAGCAACCCGGGACATCTTCATTAATAGATCTGGCAAATGAATAAAAAGGGGTCCACCTAATCCCGGCGGCGTAATTTGGTTTGATTAGGGAAACGGAGAGAACGCAAACAGAATTAACATAAAGGCAAACGTGTACCTTTTATTAGCATTTTAACGACATTGCGCTCTTTGTCACATATCTATGCCTGCTTGCACCCGTACCTGTGTATGTTTGTTTGGGTGGTTAGATGTTTGTATGTTTATACAAAGTAGTAGGTATCAATGTGTTTGTACACGTGGTTATGTTTGCAGAGCATGCATGTTTTTTTATCATTCATATATGATAAGCATGCACAAACAGTGTATGCATGCACGCATAAATATATATATATATATATATATATATATATATATATATATGAATTATTGTTTGTATGCATTAGAGTATGATGCATATAATAATTCATCTGAATGTATGTTAACATTTATATTGGTAAATTTGAAAATGGTTAACTGGTCTGGCCTCTGCTCATTTGGATGTCTTTTTCTGGATGAATTTTTTTCAGGTGTGCAATATACCTGTGTTAAGAAATATTAAACTTTTCGACAATTAAAATTTTGTCATTTATTTACTCTGTATTATTAAATATGAAACTCCGGATAAATAAAATGATAAAAAGAACTTGAAAAATTAGTAAAATAAATAACTCATTAAAAAAATTAAAATAAATTTTAATTAAAAAAAAAACAAGAAAATGTTCATTGTTCACTGAACAAGAAATATTTCGCCACTTAAAGCACTGCATCCTGGGCATAATTTTCATCACATAACATTTTGTACTCACAATTATACCATAGACCACACTCACACACAAACGCACACACACACGCACACACATACACACACACAAATTTATTTATACAAAAAAGTAAAAATAGAAAAGACAGGAAGAAGCAAAGAAGGATATTTTGAAAATCTGAAACGAAGTAGAAAAAAAAGTCACTACATACAAGAATAAAACAAAAAAAAACAACCGAGATAGAATACAAAGTTTAAAAAAAAGAAGAGCAAGGATAAAAAAAGAAACAAGAGAGAGAGAGGGAGAGAGAGAGAGAGGGAGGGAGAGAAAAAGAGAGAGAGACATTAGTATGCATTGTTGATGTTGAGTACATTAGCGGGTGACGTTCATTTGACTCTTAAGCCTCTTATTTCAACAGATTGTCCTTTATGGTGCTTGCTTGCTTGCTTGCCGCTTTCGTGTTAGAAGAATGTCATGTTGGCGTCTGAGAGTTTTTGAAATATTAGGCAAAATGATTTTGATGTTGTTGTTTTTGCGTTGTTGATGTTGTAGTTGTTGTTGTTAATGTCATGTCGTTGATGTTGTTGTTGATGTTGTAGTTGTTGTTAATGTCATTAATGTTGTTGTGTTGTTTCTCACTTTAAAAATTTTCAACGGTCAAAACAACAAACTCACAACACATGTAAATACGTGTGAAAGTCAGCCTGGGATCTGTTTGCACTCGAACACGGTCACTGCAACAACAATGTCAGACATCTTAACTAAAACACCATCAATTTTCTAGCATCAAAAACATTTAAATTGATATTCCATAAAAAGATAATAGAATAGATTGCATCTTTGATGTTAGAATGCCTCCAAACTCCAAACATACCTACTTGCTTTCTTCAACAGCATGCATATCCCTATCTGGCGATGTTAATATAAAGATTTCTCATGATTAATCACCCTGCTGATTGATGCAGCGTTTGATTGATTGCGACATTTTGTTATGGATAAAAATTAAAAACTGGTACATCTCCTTTTTTTCTACATTGTGGACATGCCTGTTCGTCTGGTTGGTTTCCGTTTAAAAATGATGATTTATTGTGGGCCATTTATGAAACTATTTTTGGATATTACGTATGCATTCGGTGATTTGGGTTATATTTTAAAAATTGGATTTGAAATTCGCTGGTTTATTACTCACTCAGTCACTCACTCACTCAGTCAGTCTCTCACTCACTCACTCACTCAGTCTCTCACTCACTCACTCTTCTTTCAATCACTCACTCACTCATTCACTCAATCACTCACTCACTCACTTACTCACTCTCAGGATCGATGTTCGACGATAGATATGATAACATAAGTAGAGATGGCTATGCGTTCCAGCTCCACCACTACAACACGATGAGTAACTCATCGCATTTCAAACTGGACAACAGCGAACGGACTATCGAGCATAACAACCAGTACAACATCACGAAAGCCGGTCTGTACTTTCAATTTTCCAACTTTTCTAATTTCAAAAATTCTTATTATCATTATTTATATTATCATCATCACCATCATTATTATTTGATTTTATTCTGAACTTTTTGGCCAATAAAATGGATTCTTATTTGTTATCATTGAAATACCTGGGCGGTGTGTGTGCGTGTGTGTGCGCGCGTGTGTGTGTATGTGTGTGTGTGTGTGTGTGTGTGTGTGACAGACGGATTCATGCGCATATTCTCACACATGCGATATGTGTTCCTTTGTTGTTGTTGATGCATAGCACCTGTTATAAACACTAGTTGTTATATAATTATACGGACTAAATTTAGGTTAGTTACATGTTGTCATTTTAGGTTATGTTTTTATTAGTGTTGTTTTACCGACTTATGTTGCTGCTGTTGTTGAATTGATGTTTTTTTGTCTAAGATAATTTTTTTTTGTTTTGTATTGGTATCCATAAAAACTAACTACTTTATCGTTATGACATCAGGCTTTATGTTGCTTTTTTGTTTGCATTCATCTCGTACATCAGTGCTTATCGACTATGCTGAATGCCGCTGTCGTTGTTGTTGGTTTGTTTGTTTGTAGTAGTTGCTTGTTTGTAGGGGTTGCTTGTTTGTAGGGGTTGCTTGTTTGTAGGGGTTGCTTGTTTGTAGGGGTTGTTTGTTTGTAGGGGTTGCTTGTTTGTAGAGGTCGTTTGTTTGTAGTGGTTGTTTGTTTGTTTGTAGTGTTCTTGAGTTGTAGTTGTGGCGTTTTTGTGGTTGTAGTTGTGGCGTTTTTGTGGTTGTAGTTGTAGCGTTTTTGTGGTTGTAGTTGTAGCGTTTTTGTGGTTGTAGTTGTCGTGTTGTTGTATGTCGTCGGTTTGTCGGTTATGCTGTTGTTTTTGTGTTTGTCATCGTCAGCGCAAATAACATCAGCAACAACATCATCAAAAAACAACAACAAATTCAACAAAACAGCTACAACCACTTAAACAATTAACAAAATTTTTTTCTAACACGTCAAACACCCCACAACACCACGACACGCCACACCACTCCTAGCCACGCCACACGATACCACACCACTAACAACGTTTACATTATGAGGCTTTCTTATGCAATGAGCTAAACCTGAAATTATGGCTAGAGTGTCTTAAATGAGTGTCGTCGTCATTTTAACAATGTGTCGCGGTACCCTGGTTCGACTGCATGCGTAATTTTTACTGTCTCATATTTAGTTACATAAAACCCTGTCTCGTAAATTTACAAACTTAATTGAGCGCTATAACATTAACTTTAACAACAATGGCAACAATGACGTCATCGACAACATTAACGCTAATAACATCAATAAAAACATCAAATAAAAGCTACTCACCACATCAGCTTGCACATCACCACACCACATCTCATCACCTTTACTTGTGGCGTGTGGGTCTATTAAACCCTAGCTCACGGTTATTGCCTTGTGTCGATCCTGATAATGATGATAATGGATGATGATGATGACGATGACGATGGTGAACCATCAAAATGTAAACAAACAAACAAATGAACATCTAAAAGTAATCAAACATACAAGCAAAAATACATAACAAAAACATACAAAACAAATCATACAAAAAAAAAATCATTCCCGACAACAATAACAAAGGTAATAATGCGAAATAACTGAATGAGAACGCACACGATGATAACACGCTACAGTGCGTAACACGCAACATCATTAACAACAGCAACAACAACAACAGCAACATCAACAACAACAACAACCATAGCAACAATAACAATAATAATATTAACAACAACAACAGCCATAGCAACAACAACAACACTAGGACGAGACCAACAATGCAATTTGCTGACAGAAAATTCTCATTTCAACATGTATATCAGCTTTCAAGCTGTTATATATACTCCTTGGTCATGCCACTCTTATATGGGCATGTAGATGTGTGTGTGTGTGTGTGTGTGTATTTGCGTGCGTGTGTAAGTGTGTTTGCGTGTATGTAGGTGTAGGTGTGTGTGTAAGCGTGCGTGCGTGTGTGCATGTGCGTTTTTGTGTGTAGGCATATATGTATTATGTAGCACACTTTGTATTTACATGTTTGTATGTATATTGAAGTAATACACTACCGACACAAAATCTTTTGGTAATTTTGGTACATGCGACAACTTTCACTTGCAATGACTATGCGCGCGTGTGGTGTTTGCTTTCTTCGATAACATGTCAAATCATATGAAGGAGTTTGCACACGTCTTAGTGCAAATGCATTCATTCCATTACTATACACCTTTCAACATTCACCGCTACGTACACGTACACACACACACACACACAGATGTACACAAAAACGCGCAGCACACGCACACACGCACAAACATGACACACAAGTACACAGACAGATATGCTAGAAAAAAGATCTTCTAAGAAGCAGTCAGTCATAGATTGATTTCGTAGAATCGTTGGCGTCATATATTTCGCACATCTCGTCTGAATTTTTAATAATTTTCTGAAATATTTATTTAGATTAATATCAATATAAAAATGTTTTAAATCTAGATTTATGTTTGTTTATTGAAAAAATTGTTAGAAAGCTTTTTTGGGAAATTTTCGTAATTTCCGGCTTACTGATGTTTAGAATTTTCAAAATTCTTTGTTAATCATTTTTTTTTAAGTTTTCGAACTTGGCTTAGTCACACACAAATACGTACGTACGTGTAAATACGAAAATTTATACAAACAGACTCAGATCTAAGCCACTAAATAACACTTTAGATTCATAAAACTTGGAATTTACTTTAATTTTATTGGCACAAAGTAGAATCTAGATAACTCTGACTAGAGAGCCAACTTGTGAAAATGTAAAAATGTTGGTGAACATTTTTATGTTGGTTATGCTGAGCTAGAACTTTTCAAATACTTGGCAATTTAAAAAACTATTCTTTTTAATGTTTAAAAAGTACTCAAACAATAACGTTCTAACATTATATCATTCTTATCATTCAACATCATTGTATCATTATATCATTCTTATCATTCAACATCATTGTATCATTATATCATTCTTATCATTCAACATCATTGTATCATTTCATTATATCATTCTTAAACTTCGCACATACCAACGTACTAGGTACAATCCTCATTTTGGAGAACAATTTCATCCAATCAGTAGTATCCACCCTTATTATGATACTATTAGTATCATCACTGACACTATTGTCTACTTATATTAGTATCATCGTTGATACTATTGCTACTTATATTAGTATCATCTTTTGTACTATTGCTACTTATATTAGTATCATCTATGATATTAGTCTATTAGTAAGTATCTTGGATGCGGTTTTAAACTGGTAAAAAAGTGTTGAAAGAAAATTTTCGACATTTAGCGAAGTACCGCTTCAGTGCAGATGGCCAAATAAATAAATAAACTTTTGACGTAAAATACCATGCTGGAATGCTAATTTCGGGTTTTGTATAAAACCTCCATCTGTTATTTTATGTCCATGTTTTTGTTTCTTTGGTGAGGAATTATTTTAACTTTTACGGTTTTTGGTTTGTTGACTGATGATTTTTTTTTATTAATAAACTCTGTATGTGTTATATGTCTTTGTTTTTGCTCCTCTGGTGAGAAATTATTTCAATTTTTATGGTTTTTGGTTTGTTTATTGGTTATTTAATATTTAAAATTGTGAAAACTGTTTGAATAATTTGAAATAGTGTTTTAAATTAAGACTTTTCTTCTGTAAAAGACAATGATAATAATCGTAATATACATATAATACATATATATTTATATAGTATATAATACATAAAATGTATATATAATGCATATTATATATATATATATATATATATATATATATATATATATATATATATATAATTTGCGAATGTAACTTTACTTAATGGGCATGAACTTGAAAGAATAGTTTATCATTGGTATTATTGTCTAATTATATTAATATCATCATTGATGTTACTATGATATTATTATGATATTATGATAATTTTATTATTATATTATGATAATTTTATTATTATATTATGATAATTTTATTATTATATTATGATAATATTATTATTATATTATGATAATATTATTATTATATTATGATAAATGACTGATAAATGAATAAAAATTCAAAAACAAAAAAAATGATGAATATATATATATGAAAAAAATGATATCAGTAGTAAGCAAGATGAATGAATGAATGAACGAACGAACGAGCGAACAAACGAATAAACGAGCGAACGAACGAATGAATGAATGAATGAATAATAGAAAACGAATGAGAACATAACGTTAATTGAAAATGGATGGATGAAGATGAATGAATGAATGAGTACATGAATGAATGATTGAATAATCGAATGAATAAATAATTGAATGAATGACTGAACGAAGGTTTGAATGAATATAGAAACGAGTGAATATACAGAAGGATCAATAGATTAACAAACTGACAAACGAACGAACGAACGAATCAACATATATAAACGAATAAAAATAACTGAACATGACGTCAGAAAAGCTTGTGTGACGTCACAGGTTCGTGGATTAATTTTATTTAAAAAGTCATTTTATCTGTCGGTTCTCATGAGATAGTGAAGTGTGAGTCTTCAAGGATGCATGTACGTACACATGTAAGTGTTAGCAGGAAGGTCTTGATGATGATGATGGTGACAGTGAAAAATGATGATAATGATGGTGATGATGATGTTGATAGTAATGATGGTGATGATGATGTTGATAGTAATGATGGTGATGATGATGTTGATAGTAATGATGGTGATGATGATGTTGATAGTAATGATAGTGATGATGATGTTGATAGTAATGATGGTGATGATGATGTTGATAGTAATGATGGTGATGATGATGTTGATAGTAATGATGGTGATGATGATGTTGATAGTAATGATGGTGATGATGATGCTGATAGTAATGATGGTGATGATGACACTTGTGAGGATTCTGCGGGTTAATGTTGTTGTTGATGACGATGATGTTGATGACGATGTTGATGATAAAGATGATGATAAAGATGATGATGATGATGATAATAGTGTAGGTGCAGACTTTGGTAATAATCTTGGTGATTATATCGCTGATGGTATGCTAGTAATTGGGATGCTTCAAATTGGAAAGGTTCTCAAAATTTGATTGAATTCGTTTGAACGCTGCTATGTTAAAGACCTCTGAAATGCTATTTTTTTCAAGTTTCTAATAAACAATCCAGTTTATTATTTTATAATGTATTTTTTTAATTTATATTTGAAGAAAATCAAATTAAAAAGTATATAAACAGGTCACGCATAAAAACGTAGCATAAAAAATGCAAAAAAAAACACCCAAAGCTAAATTAAATTGGTTCGTCTAAAAAATTTCTTCAGAAAAGTAATTCATTTATTGACTTGTGAAAAAATTTTGTTTTATTTTTTCACCAGACTTTTTAACAAGCAAGTCCACGCAATTCAATTCTCTAATTGTAGTGCCCGAAAATTTGAAATGCTTTCTGAAAAGTACTGCATTTGTTTCTTTAGAAACGTTTTTTGGGAACTGCGATTTCTTTGTTATTATTTGTTTTTTCTCAAGAAACATGCTTAGAACTATGAGTACAAATTACACTTTTTGTTGGAGAGACTTTATAAATATCAATTTTCATTTCAATTTTTGAAATTATTTGATGTTTTTCATTTGTCGTTTTACGCCCGTGATCAAAAAATATTATTTTTCAGTTTCATTGATAATTTATAACTTTTTTTCGTGTAAAAATAATTCGGTTAAATAGCATGACTCAAACAATAAAAAATGAAAAATTGTAACGATGAAACTGAGAAATAATTTTTAAATTTAAACTGGAAGACGTCGGTAGGCTATCATTACCAAATATTTCATGGAAAAATAATTTCGCTGCTGAATGGATGATGATCATTTATTTTGAATTGCCTGGGCACATCAATCTACTCACTATCAACTCTCATTAGACTGTCTCCAAGCCTTCATACATCATTCATTCATTCTTTCGTTTATTCTGTCAGCTATTCATTTCAATCTAGAATTCTATCAATCAATTAGACTATCATTATATCATTAAAGATATATGTATCATCAATCAATTAGACTATCATTAAAAATATATGTATCATCAGTCTAGTAGGCTATCATCAATTCATTCAATTTAATTATTTGTTCATTCATTCATTCATCAATTCACTTATAGGATGTGAATTACTAGAAAGTGGAGTTTTCACGCTACTGACTTCTGTGGACATGGGCAGCCAGTCCCTCATCGAATCCCTATCCAGAACATTTCACGTGACGCACATTGTCGTTTCGGAGGTAACCGCCAATCGCCAGGAGACGCTCGACTCCAAATGGCGGAGCCACAACCTACATCGGATCGCTACGTCACTCGCCAGTAATCCACTCACACAAAAATTTCAATCCTTCAAACCATCATCGTCACCATCTTTAACACCGTCGCCATTGTCGTCAACATCTTTACTACAGTCACCATCGCCATCATCATCATCTTCTTCATCGTCTTCATCATCTTTTTCGCATGCGTTGCCTTCTTTCGTTTTGTATCTGAGACCTCTTTTTGAAAGGGCCTACTACGATCTTTTCAAGCACTTTGGCTGGAAGAGACTGATCTACCTGTACGATAATGAATATGGTTAGTTTGTTGTTGACAGTGTTATTTTTTTTATATAATGATTATTTATTTAATGATAATTATATTATTAATAATTGTAGTTTTATTTGTTTTGTTGAAGTTTTGGATATTTTAATATTAATATTAATTTTTTTTATTATAATTATTATTACAAGTAATTACCATAATTAGAATGAGTTATTACATGAGCTGCTGGCAATTATGTAGAAGGAAAATTATTATTAATATTATTATTGGTGTGTTTGCAAACGACTTTTAAAATGATCTCAGAAGCGCTAACGATTAATGCAGTACAGTGCGTAGCTCTTTATTAAAGCAATGCAATGAATGGAGAGAAAAAGACATTAGCACGGGTGAGCTGGGACAAAAAGATGGTGTTTCAGCCTTTTACGAAATTGAATAAGAGACAACGCCGGATCACGAATGTCCTTAGGCAAACCAGACAGCAGGTCCCATTACGGAGAAATTCCTTCGACCAAAAATTTTTGATTGATTCAATTTAAGCCTATTTGCTATCATCCGCTCATTTATTTTTGAGAGACATGATTTGAATCTACAGAAAAGATCATCAAAACGACAAAGGAAGGCACTAGCCAAGGACCAACCCCTGTTGAACACCGTATGACATAGTTTCAACATGTGTCAAGTGAGATTTGAACAGAACCTGTTGTGTACGACCAGAGAGGTATGACTCAATCCATTGAAGAACAACATCCGATACTTCAAATGAACATTGTAGCTTGCGTAAAAGTAATGAGTGATTGACAAAATCAAAGGTAGGTCTCATATCTAAAAGAGCAAGCAGCGACACATTCTTAGCATCTGTGGAGGAACACAAATTCAAAGAAACATCCAATAAGACAGTTTCAGCCAAATGGAACCAGATTGGTAAACCTGAAAAAAATTATTGGTGCTCAAGTGAGTGACAAGTTGCTGAAAGACTATGTGTTCGACAACTTCAGACAAAAATTGTTCATAGATTACATATAAAAAGGTGTTTTTCAAAATTGCTGGTAGTTAATCGGACATAAAATTTAAAAAATAGTTTTTTCTAGATGTAGAATAAACTCTAAAATTTAAATCCGTCCTATTTTACATTTAGGTACTGAAAAAGGACATTTTTTTCAATGAAAATGACCGAAAACCAACAAAGTTAAACAGAGTGCAACGTCATTTGCACGCATCATTTGTATGCCATTTTGCTCATATCAACCGTCCAATTTATAACAGAATTTTTCAGAAGTTAACTAAAAATTTATTTAGAAAAGACTTAGCTAACAAAAATACAAAAATTTTTGAAGTGAGATGAATTAGCTTTTGTTGCAAAACATATTTTTTCAAAAAAAAGAGAACTAAAGGGAAAGAACGAGAGAGAGAGAGAGAGAGAGAGAGAGAGAGAGAGAGAGAGAGAGAAAGAAATTTCTTGTGTTATTTTGTTATTTTGCCCTCATTTCAACGTTATTAAACTTACATATTTTTTCTATATATATGACAGTAACAAAGACATTAAAAAATAATTAATCCGTTTTTTATGAAAAAAATTGTTAAAAAAGAACAAAGATTTTTCAATCAAGCCATTAAGCTTCTTTTGATTAAATATTTAATGTTTGACCTTTCATGTTCAGGTTTTTAAAAAAAATTTAATGATAGCATAAAGCAGTTTGCTTATATTCACTTTTACTATTATTTACTTTATATAATAATTTATTATTCAAAGAAATATTATTAAAACGTGAATTACTTTTCTAAAAAAATATATATTGTTAAATAAGTTAGTATATATCTATAAAATTTAAAAAAAAAATTTGCGACTTTATAAGAAAACAAGACAAAACAAACTTAAAATAAATAAATAAAATAAAAATGTATCCCGAAACTGGTGATGATAAATGCATGCACATGTGTCAAAACGAAAAAAGCCATCCATTGCTTCCAGGCAAATTCTAAGCTGGAAAATTTTGTTTCGTCTTATTCATAAATTTCTACGAAACATTGAAATTAATGTTGCATAATGCACTATAGCATTGAAGAAAGATGGCGTATCTAGACATATGATTGTGGTTCTGTTGTTGATGTTGTTGTGTTATTATTGTTATTATTGTCGTTGTTGTTGTTGTGTTATTATTGTTATTGTTTTTTGTGAAGTTTTTTTGGTTGTTGTTGTTTTATTGTCGTTGTTAAGTCGTTGTTGTTATGTGACTGTTGTTGGTGAATTGTTATTGTTGTTATGTTATGTTGCTGTTTTTGATTGTTATTAGAGATTTCTTATTAGAAATATTAACAAATTATGAGAAATAATATTAAGTCAAATAATTAGAAGATTTATATTAAAAAATTGACATTTTGTAATCGAAGACATTGGCCACACCGTGCGTCCGCCACATACGACAGCATTCACCACACACCACATCGTCATCGTCCACACGCTGCTCGCACTCCACAAACGTTCATCACTATGCCTTCTAGACAATCGCACAGATGCTACGATAAATGCAAACTAACAATGAACAGAATGGAACAAATTTTTTCATATAAAAAAACCGTGCACAAACACACGCAATCAGCTAGCTAGACAGGCTATTAGCGTTATTGGCAAATAAAACAAGCGAAATAATAAAGTTATAAGCAAACAAAAGCAAGGACGAAAGTACAAACATAATCTCGCAAACGCAAACAAAAACGTTTCGTTAACAAACACGTACAATAGAACAAACATACGCAGGCACACATAAAAACACACACAGAAACACACACACACACAAACAGAACCACACATACACAGGCACACACATATATAGGGAGAGACACAAACACTGACGACAAATTGCATAGAAACAGAGGCGCAGAAAATGAATGCCGGTCTTCGTGTTTGCTCGGGGGTCACACAAATGACCTTCTGACCTTTCTCTAATACCGTCATGACGTCATCAGTCCTTCGATCACGTGATGTCTGAATATCATTTCAGTATTGCTTCGTGTTCGAACGTTTATTGCCTGTTGCGTGTGTGTTGTTTGTTTGTTCGTGTGTGTGTGTGAGTGTGTGTGTGTATGTGTGTGGTGTGTGTGGGTTAGGTTAGTGTCATGATTCGCGTGTCCGCCACATTATGGTCCATTCTGACAAAGTTTACTAGATGTCTCCTACTTTAGCTACGTCTGTTCAAGATGCTGTAACGTCAATGTATTGAAAAGTTGTACTTACATTCTCAAATGTTTCTGCTAATTCTGCTGGCCGCGAATTTACATTACAACTTTAATATCACTAACGGTTATCTCATTTTAACATCTTCTTGTTTTAAACGTTTTTTGGATGGATTCTATTTATTAGTGGTTTAATTTTTTAGGAAAAAATTATAATTTAATTCTATCTAGAGCCGGACCATACGGACGCGAATTTTTTTTTTCTATTAAAATTTGAAATAAATACGAGCATTAAAAAAAATCTTTCATTGAATTTTAAACAATTTATATAATAAAAAAATGAAAAAATTATAAATTAAAGTTTAGAAAAGTCATCCTATTAAATTTTCAAAAAACCTAATTGGACAAATTAAAAATAATCTAACGACATACGAGCTGTTTAATTGGTTTCCAATTACATCTCAATTATTTTATAAAAAATATTTTTTACCCATTTTTCAATATTTTAACGTATAATTTTATTATTTCAATTAAAATTCACTACTTTTAAATGAATTTGAAATTATTATAAAATATTATTATTTTTTCAAGGTCTGTATCACCTGGAGCACCTGTATTCTGTCATTAATAAAGGTGGGTTAGGGTAAAGTTATCAATATTTCAATTCAAATAAATACAAGTTATTTTATCAATTTATTATTATTATGTGCGTTTGAGATAGGTTCTAATATCCAGGGTTAATTTACATACGTACGTGAATGTCTGTGTGTGTGTATATATGTGAGAGTCTGTGTGTATGTGAGAGAGAGAGAGAGAAAGAGAGAGAGAGAGAGAGAGAGAGAGAGAGAGAGAGAGAGAGAGATGGAAGGTGTTTGTGAAAAAAAGACTTCACGCACGTTTGTGTATTTGCCAATTTGAATGAATGGTGCTGCTTTGTGTACTATCTTTATTGAACATACTGGACATCAAATTCCTCTTTTTCTTTGTAACATCTCTCGGCTGAATACATATTCAGTTCAACTTTATTTTATTCATCATCATCATAATCACTATCATCATTATTATTATCGTCGTCGTCATTATCATTATCATCATCATGTCCATCTTCCTCCTTTCCCTCATCATCGTCGTCGTCGTCATCCCCATCATTATCATCATCTTCATCCTTTTATCATCATCAACTTTATCCTTTTATCATCATCATCATAATCATCACCACCCCATCATCACTACCCAACCAAACACTCCAGGTGACTTCAAGATAGACCCAGAAATCATCCACATAGCCGATGTTACCAACTGCTACGACACCCTGCGACAGATCGACCACAAACGTTTCCAGCATAGCAGCGGTGGTGGCGGTGGAAGCCACAACTCATACCACACAAGAATCTTTCTCGATTTTTCTAACCCCGATGCCTTCAATTCCTTCCTTAAACAGGTATATTATCGTTATTTTTTGTAAAAAATTATTAAAATTTTGTTTTGATCATAAAACTTATATTCTATGTATTTAAATTTGTATGAAGTAGTATATTTGACTAATTAACTTCAAGAAAAAATGGTTTTAGATGGCGTTTAAGATTTATATTACGTTGGTTGGTCTGAAACGTTGAATGTTGTGTTGCTATTTCAATTTTCGTCCTACCTTTTTTCTCGTAAATATTGTTACACTGCTCACTTTTCACCATCCTACGACGGTTGCTGAACATCGTTTTTTCTCGGGGAAATTCTTTCTGTTTCTGTAAACTCTCTCGTTCAACGTTAAATAACTCGATATTGTTCATGTACATGTATTAATGATAGATGTCTTCAATTAGCGACTTACGTGTGTTGAGTATTATCTAGTTTTTTAAATGTTATAAAGTTTAATAATGAAAATCGAACGAGAAACGGCTCACCCATTATTGTCAATATTATTTATATTGTTTTAATTGTAATTAAATGTATTTTCTATAACAAAATAACAAAACTTAAACGAAGAATTAAAATGCAAATAATAATAATGTGTAAAAAAGATAACTCTAACTATTAACTAAAATAACTCTCAACTTAACTCTCTTAACTTATGTGCTCGCCTATTATATACCAGGAGACCTTGCTCCCAAGAGCTTAACTAGTTGTCTAACTCTTTTTAACCAGTCAGTCCCTACTGTATGTCACACCTCATTCTTATTATACAGAGTATTACATGCTCTGATTAATTATACCTTATATTATCTTATATTAAGCTGCTTTATGTCTGTAAATTTGCTGTTTCGTCGTGAACAACTTTTAAAACTTAACTATCATTATAATTACATACCTACTTTAACATATATTCATATACAACCTATATTTACTTATACCTCTCAATCCAAACTCCCATCTATATAATAATATTATAAAGTTATTTTTTATTTTTAATTTGAGAAATAAAACGATTTTTCATGTGGTGTAGTGATTTTAGTTGACTCCAAACAAGCGGACATATGTGTAATTATCATTCTGTAAAATATGTAAAAACATCTTCATAGACGTCAGTGGCTAATTTATCAATACCCCCGTGCAACTTAATCCTCAAAAAATCCCTGAAAACATTATATTCTTATTTTTAACAACATTCTTGTTGATGTTTTATGTTTAGATAATATATGTAAATGTATGAATAGCATGAATAGCACATACGTGTGTGTGTGCGTGCGATTTTGTGCGCGTGTGCGTGCGTGTGTGTGCGTGTGTGAAACTATAACCACCATATGACCCATAAATTGTAACCTTGCCATTACATTGTGTTGGCAACGAGAAGTTTCAGCCATAAACATTTTACCCATTCTGTTAAGTCAAAGTATAAATTTCGTGCAAACAATTAAAATATTCCGTCTAATAACAATAATATGAATAATTTATAAAACATGTCAAGGAGAGAGAACGAAAAAAAGAGGGAGAGAGAAAAAAAAAAGAAAAAAAAGAAGAATGAAAATAGATAAAGAGACGAAGCAATCTAGAAAGATAAAAAGAGAGAGAGAATAAAATGAAAAAAAAACGAAAGTTTATTTATTCAAACTCCGCTCCATCAATTTTATTTCCGCCGAATGTTCTTATCCATTGTTGAACCTTTGTAATTGATGCTCCGCGCTTGTTAAATTTATATCAGAGACATGACTCTTATGGAAAATTGTTTACATGTGTGTGTGTATGTGTGTGTGTGTGTGTGTATGTGTGTGATGTCTCTTTTTCTCCTCTCTCTCCTCTCTCTCTCTCTCTCTCTCTCTCTCTCTCTCTCTCTCTCTCTCTCTCTCTCTTATATGGGTTTATTTAGATTATTTTATTTCGATATTTCGAGAGCGATTTTATTTATTGGCAGTTTGAAATTTGATTTTGCATTTATGTATTTTTGTTTTTATTTTATGTCAATGTTCCTGATTTTTATTTTGTTTGTTTTTCGTTGTTGTTTTTAAATATTTCATTTGGAAAAATTAATAAAAAGGCTTTGTTGAGTTTTATATTTATTTGGAGAAATAAAATTAATTTAGTCTGAAGCTTTAAATTTATTAATGTAAATAACATAAGTTTTGAGAAAAAAAAATCAATAACGTTCCTTCCAATTCCGCTGATGAATTTAAATTCCTCAGTTGAACTAGGCCAGACCAAAATGTGAATAATAAATAGAACAATTTCAATTGTAATAAAATTCACGAATTAAATTAAGAAGAATAATAAAACCAATAATGAAAAAAGAAGAAAAATATGAATAATAATAATGAAATAACAATAATAATAATAAATTTATCCTCCGGTTATGGCCAATTCATCTTGAAATTATTTCCAGAATTGCATACATAATGCAAGTCGATTGAAAGCATGGACCTCTCTTTCTACGTACATACAAACATTCTATTGTATTTTGCATGTGTAAATATTATAATTATCTTTGTTATAATTATTATTATTATTATTAGTATTATTATTAATATTGGTGTGTGTTTGTAAACGCCCTTTAAAAAGATCTCAGAAGCGATAACGATTATTGCAGTACGTTGCGTAGCTCTTTATTAAAGGAATGCAATGAATGGAGAGAAGAAGACATTAGGACGGGTAAGCTTGGACAGAGAGATGGTGTTTCAGCCTTTTACGAAATTGAATAACAGACCACGCAGGATCACGAAGGTCCCCAGGCAAACCATTCCAGACAGCAGGACCCATTACGGTGAAATTCCTTCGACCAAGAGCCAAGTTTGTGTCAGGTACAAACAGTAAACCTAAATTGTCAGTGCGCAATATTTGATTTAGCAGTGGCGTTGTTCTAGGAAGGACTCTATCGGTTAGATATTCAGGGGCAACTCCCTTAATACATTTAAAAGCTGTTAAACATATCGTGAAATGAACTCTTTTAAGAATATTTTTGCTTAAATTTATTAAATATTTATAATTATTTTGCATAAATAAGGTGAGTAATTTTCTAAAATTGAACCAGAGTAAATCTCATGTTGCAACTTAGAAACATGTTTCTTCATGTTGCAACTTAGAAAAAGCTCTCAAAACGAAATATCGATTCATTCAAATTCAAAATGAAAATAATAAATTTCTTCTATAGCTAATAACTTTAGAAGTGTTTTTAATTTAAAATTAACAATTATTATTAAGAAAACATGTTCGCTTCAAACTTAGTGATTAAATCGAGTTAATAATGAATAGACAAATCAATGAAGCAGCATCACTTTGGTACTCGCATCACTTAATTCGCAGTTAAATTGTGGCAGCAGATTGTTTCTGGATTTACCTCACAGATTTACTGCAGTTCCGAATTTGAGCGGTTAAATTTTTTAGTGGCGGTCTAAAAATTGATGTAAAATGCTTAAATATGTATGTACACTTGAATAAATGTATTTATAAAATCTTTTGAATGAATTATTGCAAAATTCCAACAATTTTTTGTATTTTTATAATCACGTAATATCTTTTTTTTTTCAAATAGTTTTCTGAATTGCGATCATCTTCTTATTAGTCGCATGAAATGTGGCGAACGCTCCAGTAGTTTTAAAATTTTGATTAATCATCACAGCGGCCTCCTCACGCAATCGTTCAATCTCATGTGGAAGTCGAAAATTTTTCGCCACAATAACTTCCAATGCGATCGAAAAATTAAAAAAAAATTTCTGAGATATGTTACTTATTCATGTAGAAACATGCACTGAGTTTGAAAATGGGCGCGCGCACACTGACGTTACACACCTTCACACACACACACACACACACACACACACACACACACACACACACACACACACACACACACACACACACACATTCACACAAATAACACACACATTCACACAAACACTCATACACACGCACATTTACACAACTCACTCAAATGTATACTAGCTGAATACAAACAAACTACAAATTACTTGAAGAAATAACAACAACAACTTAAAGATAAATGAATAAAAAACATAAATTTTTTAAATATGTGTGCGAGTGTTTGTGTGTTTTTGTGTACACGTGTTTGTGTACAAAACAAATACATGTACTTTGAGTACAACTGTGTATACATCTTTATTGCACGCAGAACTGACCAACCATACCAAATGCACTGTACACACATACAAAGCCTAAGCATTAGGATACTGGTCATGCGGTGACCTCTTGACCTTAGCCGGGCCATAAACTACATTATTTATTTGCGTTTTATTCATTTATTTTCATATATATTGGGGTTACTATTTGATTATTTTATTTTTCTACTTAATTTATTTATTAGTTTGCCGGTCGCATTATTTCAGAAGAATTATTTTTACTGAACTTTCAGATGTAAAAGAGGCGAATGAAAAACGTTTGTAGATGGTAATAAACAAACTGTAAAAATGCGTTGTTTGAGTTATTTTATGGAGGAATAAATTAAATTTGAAAGTGCCTTCATGCAATAGTCTGTTTCTGAAAATTCTTTCATTGATTTAGATTCAAAACTAAAAAAGGTCATACTATGAAAAAATTTGCCAAAGTTAAAACTGTTAAAATGGATTGAAAGGAAATAGTCGCATTTAGGCTACCGTGCCGCAGCTAAAATGCGTTAAACAAAAGTGAAAGATTGCAAGTGGCTTTTTATGTTTCTTTCTGATTTATCCATATTCGTGTACGCTCACTTATTGAAATGTTGTCCGTTTTTTCAAATATTTAAACTTGTTTCCCAACGCATATAATGCAAGTTTCTTCTTAAAAATCAATTTTTTACCCAACAAGAATCACTCGGGAGAATGACGTCACCATGCTAAGCCATACAAATTTTTGTTTTTTCAAATTTTTATCACGAAAGTTAAATTTACAAAATGTTTTCACAAAAACATTTTTTTTTGCTGTGTTTCAATTTATGAACGGAAAAAACGGCCAACTTGATGAATGGTAAATAACATAACATAACACAGATTTTTATAGTGATGCAAGAAGACTGAGTCTGTGACGAGACCACACTGAGACCATTCTTAATATCCTACTTTTGTCAAGTTTGCTTTAAAGTTATAGTTGTTTTTGCGCATATTATTTCATCTCCCAGTTTGTTCCACTCGTTGACAACTCTGCAGCTTACAAATTTTTGCTTCATCGATCTTAAGATTTTTTTAAATATCTTATATTTATGCCCCCTTGTTTTGCTATTCAACTTAAGCCCAAAAACTTCGTCTATCATGTAAATGAACAAGCAAGTTTTGTTTGAACAGCCTACTTTACTTTCTTACAATGGTGACTAAGAGTCTTTCATTATGAAACATCAAAACCAAAAAATTGAATTCATTTGTTTAAATTAAATAAAAAACTATTATACAAACTTTTAACAAAATAAAAACAAAAAAAAGACATACATAAAAAAAATATAAACATACAAAACTATTTATACAAAGACACACAATACACGCATACAAATTCTCACAGGAACATCATACACACCAAAATTTAGCATAAAATACTTACTCGTAGCACATAATACCAGCATAAAATCAAAACAAAAATTTCAATCGAATTTTTAGTTAGCGAGGCACATTCAAATAAACTTTTCTTACTTTAGAACATTAATTCCAATTTATTGGGTCGCAAAAACATTCGAAGAAGTATTGGAAGGCAGTATCTATTGGACCGCAC